TTTCTCACCAAAACTCGATGTTTTTAGAATAATAAATATCTAGATAGAAGTATAGTTTAGTTATTAAAGATTATAGTATAGTCTAGTAGAGACTTAAGCTATTCTAAGAATAAAGATCTCTTGAATTATATTAAGTACTAAAGTATCTAGATAGAATTAGATTTTAGATATTTAGTAGCTAGAACTAACATTAATATTTATTAAGTAAGTAGATACTAAGACTTAAGCTATACTATTTATATAAGACTATCTAGAGGCTAATAAGATAGTATATAATACTTAACTATAATACTTTAGTATAATATATATTAGTACTAAATAATATCTTTACTAGTTTTTTTATTTAAGCTTTTATAGTTTTATTTTAAGTGTTACTCTATTGAAATTTAATATAAATCTACTAATAGATAGTATAGATAATACTTTTACTAAGTATAATAGCTTATAGCTTAGTAATAGTATTAGAAGAGATTTTTTAGATCTTAAAACTATTAGGTTTTAGTAAAAAAACACTAATTTAGAAAGACTTTTCGCTAAATACTATATAGAATCTAGAGTAGATATCTAGTAGATATAAAGAAGTATTACTTATATAGCTTTTATTAGATGAAAAATAAATAATAAATAATATTTATCTCTAAAGAAAATATAATCTTTAAGTAAATAATATTACTAGCTTCTAGAAAGGTTTTTGTAGTTTATTTTAATATATTATATAAGAAATATCTATTCTTAGAGTATATCTAGCTTGTAATAATAGATTTAAGAGAAAATAGCTAGTATAAAGTATTAGATAGCTACTAATAGTTAAAGTCTACTAAGATTATAGTAATTACTAATATTAGAATAGTAAGCTAAATTATACTAATTCAGGAAATAATAGTGTAGAGATATTCGTATATAGCTTATATTATCTTTATCTATTAGAGTAGTTACTTGAAAATATATATTCTCAGAATTAATAGAGTAATATAATAATAAAGCACGTAATAATAGAATAATAGAGATAGTTTAGTAGAAGACTAAATTCTACTAAGCTTCTATTATATATAAGCGGCTACTATATACTCTCACTTAGCTAGTATATTACTAGTAGAAAGCTTAGAACTAGCTTAAAGCTCTCTTTATATCTTATAGTAGTATAACTCACTTAAATAAACGCTAATACTCTCTATAGTAAAATTAAATATATTAAATAGTACTACTTTTTATCTTATTTACTAAATCTTAGTACTATTCTCATTTACTTTCAGTTAGAATCCTAGTTTTATTATAGTTTCGAAACTATAAACTAGATATCAAGATATAAAGCTATTTGTATCTATTTTATTACTAGAGATATAATTAACTTTTAAAGAGAGTATTTATAGAAAAGAATAATAGTTTGAAGAATTATTAATACGATTTAGTATATACTATTAGAAAAAGAGTTGGATATTTAATATACGTAATACTTATACTATAATATTATAGTATATAAATAGTGTTACTTAGTACTACAGAAGCTATCTTTCTAGTAAGATAAACAAGAGAGAAAAGTTAATCTAACTATAATAATTTTCTAATAGCTCTATTTTAGTAACGCGGAGAAGAGAGAGAAATAGGAGAGCAAATAAATAATATCGAACCAGGTTTAACGAATACATTAAGTAGTGCGATAGGTGTCATCATTTTATTTTCGTTTCCCTCTTGATCTCCTCTTTATCTTCCTTCTGTTCCTCTTCTTCTCTTGCTCTTTAATATACGCATCCTTAATCTCATTGTAGTCGAAGTTTCTGAGTAAATACCCGTCTCCTGCTTCTAAAAAAGTTAACATGCCTGGCCGTCTTGAAGGCAAGATTGCCCTTGTCTCAGGCTCTACCCAAGGGTTTGGACGAGGCATCCTCAAGACCTTCGTCCGTGAAGGCGCTGTAGTCCTCGGCATGGATCTCCAGGCTACCAATGGCCCAGTTGATGGCTACACCGAGAAGCAAGCCTACCAAATCAAGGCCAACGTCGCTGAGGAGGCTAGCTGGAAGAAGGCTGTAAGTGAAGCTCTTTCACAAGACGTTGATCTCACATCGAGGTTTTCGGTTTATGTCTTGACTACCACACTGACTATTACTGTTATCCTAGCTCGAAACCTCCATCGCACGCTTCGGAGCGGCCCCCTCGATCGTCGTCCACAACGCCGGCTGGTCATACCCAAACAAATCCGGTATCGAGGTGACCGAGGCTGAGTTCACGCGCCTCTTCGATGTCAATGTCAAAAGTGTCTACCTCGCCTCCAAAATCCTTATCCCCGAGATGAAGAAGAACGGGCCTGGTTCCACCATCGTCATCTCCAGCGAGAACGCCATCCGTCCCGGTGCAACCCAGACTTGGTACAACGCGACCAAGGCTGGCGTCTCCTCGGCTACCAAGTCTATGGCGCTGGAGTTTGCCAGGGACCAACTCCGCTTCAACACTATCTGCCCTACTTCGGGTAACACCCCTCTGCTCAACAAGTTCGCTGGTATTGCAGATGGTCCCGTCCCCGCTGAGATCATCAAGGCCAAGTGCGAAGCTATTCCTATTGGGCGTCTTGTCGAGCCTTCCGATGTAGCCAACGTGGCCCTTTTCCTCGCTGAGCCTGCTAGCTCTATTATTAGCGGTATCGAGATTCTTGTTGATGGTGCTCGCTGTGTTTAAATAGTCAAGCACTAGTATCTCTTTTTTTGATTAAAAAAGAAAAAAAGAAAATAAGAGAGTATCGTTATATATTAGAGACTCGATAGTAGGAAAGTTTGAGAGTACTCTTAAACATATACTCTTAGCCTCATTTTCAAGCTTCTCTTAGAATTTTGATCATAGTAGTGTAAGAGTAGTGTAATAAGCAGTATAGTATGGAAGAGTAGAGATGAATATAGAATATAATAGCAAGGATTATAACTTCTTAGAATAACTATAGCTTAGCTAACTAAGGTTTCCTTCCCTTTCTTCCCGGTTATCTACGACTCAGACGTGCGCTTCGAACGCTCAGCCGCGGTCATAATTGCATCCGTGTAGGCCGATCTGACTCCGCGCTTCTCCAACTCCAACAGGGCTCTTATCGAACACCCTCCAGGAGATGCGATCTTCTCTCGCAACACACTTGGATGATTTCCGGCCGGCACCAACTTCATGATTCCGATTGCACTGTTCATGATAAAATTCTGCGCTTCTGGGCGTTTCACTCCTTCCGCGACGGCAGCATCTAGCAGGCCATCAATGGCCAACAACAACAGCGAGCCTGCGCAGCCGACCAACACGGCAGAAATATCAAAGTTGCTCTCAGCAGCGAGCTGTGACTGGCCCACTTGATTGAAAACCCAGGATGCGATTTTAAGGTTTTCTTTCGATAGCGTTTCCGTGTTGGCCGTGTAAAGAGTCATGGCCTCTCGGATGTTCGCAGCCATGTTGGGCATTGCTCGGACGACCTGAAGTGGTAGACTCTGATCTTGCTCTCCACTACCAGTCAGACGCTTCAATTCTGTGGTTGAGATGCCGGCCATGATGCTGAGGATGAGCTTGCCACGGAGAGCCTCGCGCACACCCGGGGTGCCGAAGACGTCTTCCCTCTTGACGGGCTTCACAGCGAACAACACCACATCTGCTTCTTGGATGGCGTGTACGTTGTCCTTCTGCAGGAGAACCTCGAGTCGGGACGAATGTTGGGAGAATTCCTCTTCAACGCGACGTTTGGAAGGCTCAGTGCCAACAGTGGCTATGAGGCGTTCAATATCAACGGTGCTTTTGTCTAGCGGATCGAGTATTCCTCTAGTGATTGCAGTTCCTAGTGTTCCTATCTCCTCGGATTTGTTAGAAGGCTGGTTTGTGTTTGAGATGATGGTTTAATCAAAGGATTAGTCTTACCGCAGCCAATAACGGCCATTGTTATTGGGGCAGTGTGTACCATGTTGGCAAGTAGCTAGAACTGATAAGTCTTTTCCCCCTGGACTTGGATAAGGACTGAAAAGTCGATTGGAAGAACAGGGTGTCGAGAGTGCTTGTCGAAGTGCGAGGTCGATCAATAGAGTGTATTTATTCAGCGAGTTTTGAGTGTTTGATAGGTATACCGTCCCGTTTATCACCTCTTCGGATGCTGTTGATGATGGACGTGATGGACTGAGAAAGCGGCAATCCGATTGGATGTTCACATGATACATGCGGTCTCATCATGCTAGGGTGTCTCGGGCCGGTATTGCCAAGGGCCTACGGTCATCATATCCGATACCGGGTCAAAGAGAGAATTCCGGCATCACTGCATAGAACGCATGACTCAAGAGGCTAGCATCAACCATTTAAACTCACAGACAAATTCATCTTTTCGTTCGTTACATTGAAAAGTAGAGAATCAAAAACAAAGGCTGTAAACCTTTCATCTACTTTCATCTCCAACAATAATGGCCGTCGTTGAACCCGAGCAACATTGGCTGCGACCTACACCCCACGTTCCCAACTCGAAACTCCCATTTCTGGTGTACCGAGGTGTGTTCAAGGGCCAGAGCGCCGACGAGATGAAGAGGCACATCGAGGCAAACAAATGGCTGAAGGGAGGCCAATGGAAAACGTACAAGATTGCACATTTCCATACCAACACGCATGAATGCTACGCTGTCTTGAGCGGAGAGACCCTATACGAAGTTGGCAAATCACCCATTGACGATGAGTTCGACGCCGACGGTAAGAGAACTGGGCTCAGGGTGTGGCTAGAACAGGGTGACGTTTTTGTTCTCCCGGTACGAGATATACCTCTTCTCAAAGGATTTGGTTCATTGATATGTTGGAATTAAAAGGGAAAGTAAAGGCTCATTTGATACTGCAGGCCGGTATCAGTCATTGCTCAGTTGAGTCAGTGGGAGACTATGAACACATAGGCTTCTATCCAGAGGTAAGAGCGCAGCTGGTTCGTCTTTAGCGAAGAATGAACGTACCTTCTCTAACAGGGCGTTTTAGGGCTCGCCAAAGTGGGATATGAACTTCGGTAAGGAGCCTCCCAAGCAAACTCTAAAGCTAGGAGACAAGGCTCAAAGCGTCTCTATCCCGGGTCTTGATCCAGTCTATGGCGCTTCGGGGCCTTTGCCGAAAATATGGAGTGAGAGAATAAGAGATTCTTAAAGTCGAAACTGTAGAACTTTTTACTATATAGTAAATTGATAATATTATAGCTTAGTGTTACGTTCAATAGAAGACTTTGAAAGAAAAACGAATAAAGGCAAAAGAAAAGTAGATAATATTTATATCACTAAGCTAGTAATAGTATATACTATATTATATAGCTTTACAAAACTATATTATATTAAGAGAATGTTTTTACTATCAAGTGATTACTAAGAATATTCTTTCTAGCTATAGTAACTAGTGCGGCCTTTCTAGCTTTTTCTTTATACTATTTATATAGATAGTTATTAATATTAATATAGATATTAATTATAGGCTAAAGTTTATTAGACTATTCTTTTTATACTAAGTTATTCTTAAGAGTCTCTTTTAATTCTTATTAGTACTATATAGTTAGAGTAATATTCCTCTAATTAGTATCAGCTATAATTAGCTAGAACTAGATAGTATAAGCTACTATAGAGTCTTTTTATACTAAGCTTATAAGTCCTCTTTTAGTAGTAGATTCCGTATTAATATATCTAAATATCTAGTGAATCTTCTCTTTAAAAGATTCTATATTTATAAAGATAGCTCTAGTCTTAGGTTTATAGTTTAAGTCTAAGTTCTCTAGAAAGTCTTTAAAGTGAAGTTAGATTTACTTATATACTCTACCTCTAAGATAGATAACTTTAAATATAACTTTATTTTTAGTCTAAAACTAAACTTAATTATACTAGATATATATATTATACTATAGTGTTATAGAAGGTTTATTATATAGAGATTAGTATAGATGCAGTATAATAGATCTTAAGGCTCTCTAAATAATAAAAAATAGTTAATTACTTATTATATTATAGTATTAAGTAGTATTATACTTATTTTAGATATCGTCTAGCCTTATATAATCTATTATTATAGCTCTATTATTATTTTAATAGTTCTGTCTTAATATTTTATCTCTATAAATATATAATCTACTTATTTAAATTCTATACTTAAACCTCTTACCTATAATAATACTAGAGTAGAAAGAATTCTAATTCTTCTTTAGCTCTATAGTATTTATTTAGTGTCTTAATTCTAATAGACTTATAGTTAGAAAAGACTCTTAGAGCCTAGTTTCTCTATTATCTAGTAATAGATCTTATAGTAGATATATTAATATATTAATCTTTAGGTATTCCCTTAAAGGTTAGTACTTAAACTAGAATAGACTACATATCTAGATAACTATAATAGTACTAAAGTATAGTATAATTCTATATAAGAAATTAGAGAATAGAGTAAGATATAATAATAGTAGATTAATATTATAAGGTAATAATAGGATATATTATAAAAATATAAGATTCTTATATTAAGTTAAGTATAATTCTAAGCTACACTATAGTATAAAATTATTCTATCTATATACTATACTTCTAGGTAGATATCTCTATATCTTACTTAGTATACTTAGTTGCTAAGTAAAGTAAGTATACTAATTACTTACTTAGTAGCGCCCTAGTACTTAGTCTACTTGTAATCTCTTAGTAGCGCGCCGCACCTTAGTGTTATAGGTAAGATATTTAAGTATAGAACTTAGATAAGTAGATTGTACGTATCTATAGAGGTAAGATATTAAGATAGAACTATTAAGGTAGTAATAGAACTATAGTAATAGATTATATAAGACTAGATAGTATATAGAATAAGTATAATACTACTTAATACTATAATATAATAGGTAATTAACTATCTTAATTATCTAAAGAATCTTAAAGCCTATTACATTATATTTATACTAATCTCCTTGTAAATAAGTCTTCTATACTACTATATTAGTTTATAATAGTATATAATTCTAGAATAAGAGAAGATCTAAATAGTAAGAAATATTAAATTCAAATTATAATAATTTCTCTCTAACTAGCTTAGAGTACTCTAAGAGTCTTTAAGATACTCTAAGATACTAAGTAACTCTTACCTTTTGTAAGGAACTTGCAAGCTATTTATAGTCTCTTAGAACTCTCTTAGAGCTATTAGAATACTAGTTTTTACTTAGTAAATAAGAAAAAAACATATAAAAAAAGCTTTAGATCTATTTTAACTAGTATAATCGAAGAGTGTAATAGAACTAGCTTAGAAAGTAAACCTTTAATTAAAAAAATCTTATTCACTTTATATCTAGAAGTATAGATATTCTACTTATTCTAATATAGAAATAAAAGCTAGATAAAGAAGAAAACTCTAAGACTTTCTTATACTTTATATTTTTCTTACTTATTAAGTAGTTCAAAATAGCTCTAAAGGCTCCGAGAGCTTAGAGTATACCTAGTTTTCTCAATCGAGTGAAAGATTTACTATTAATAGAGTTACAAAGATTCTTTATACGTAATACTAGTTAATTAGATATATATTGATACTATAATAAGTCTAGAGTACGTAATATGTATTCCTACTATACTAACTCATCACTTAGAAAGGTAGGATTTTGGAGTACTAGTGTCCGCTAGGCCTGTATCTCCTGGGTTCCATTTTCAGCGTTCCGCCTCGGCTTTCTCCCCCTCTCTCTTCCATCTCACCAGAATGCAGCGACGGAGCGACGACGATAGTAGACGACGCAACAGAGTATCCAACGCCTGCCAGCGTTGTCGAAAAAATAAAGTCAAGTGCTCTGGCGTGAATCCGTGCAAAGGATGTGAAGAACGAGGGCTACTATGCGAATTCGAGTCAGCTGACAAAAGGGTCTATGTTTCCGAGAGGTAGGGTGGCAGACTCGGCTCCTTCTACGTCTATTCGCTCTTCTGACAAGAAGACAGCGTCCTACAAAATATGAGAATCAGACTCAATGAGTATGAGCGGCAGCAGCAGCAGCCGCCAACGGTGCAACCACAAGTCCAGCCTGCAGACGATCTGCTTTCCCCCACTCACGTCGCCTTATCCCCTGCTTCGAATGACAATGACATCCATTCCGATACCATGCAGGGCGAAGACTCGTTATCCAATCATATGGAGCCCGTAGAAAGGGCGCGCTACTCTGAAACACCCGCTTTGGATCATCCTGGAGTCCCCAATCCCCTAGTGCCCGTACAGCCAGCCTACATCCACGACAACGCTGGCAGCTTGAGATACCTAGGACATTCATCGACATGGTCCTTCAGTCGCCAGGTCCTACACATGGCCCATCAGAGTCCACATTCCAGCCATTCCTTCGAACCATCGATGCATGTTGAAGGTGAGGTCTACCGGGTTGACGCAGGGAACTCACCTACCTTTTCATCTGCAGACACTGCCGGCATCCCTTCGGCGGATATCGCCCTGTATCATCTTCAAAACGTAAAGTTCAGGACTCGTCCTCTATATCACCTCTTCGATGAGGCCGACTTCACCTTCAATCTGCACCATTTCTATGAGAGTCCCCTTGCTTTTGCCCAGGCACGTCCGCTCTGGTACATACATTATCTACTAATCATGGCTTTCGGAAAAGCATTTATTGCACAACCGCAAGCGGCGAACGGCCTGGCTGGCTTAACTTTGTTCGAACGGGCCTTGCGACTGCTCCCTGACGTCACCTACCTTGTTCGTGATCGGGTAGAATCAACCGAGATACTCTGTTGTATTGCACTATACCTCGAGTCCATCGACCATAGGAGTGCGGCTCACGTATATGTAAGGTCCCATGAGCCGTCACCCATGGAGAACCGCCACCTAACACATTGAGGTAGATCGGACAAGCTGTACGACTGGCCCAGTCCCACGGTCTCCATACCAACATGCAAGCCAGTGCCGTTGGCAACCACCTCGTGCATCGAGGTCGCCGCATCTGGTGGACTGTATACGCCCTTGATCGGAAGTTGTCGTGTTCCATGGGAATTCCTATTTCCATTCGTGACGAAGATATCACAACTCCACTCTCACTGGCGGATGACACAGATTTCATTGCGAACGGACTGGCAATTCACGTGAGGATATGCCAGCTTCTGGGTAACGTCATTAGCAGTAAGGCAAGCAAACAAGACCGCTTATGGATGGCGCTAACCCATCGGTGTAGCGGTATATAGCAACGATGGCAAGCTCAACCAGACCTGCATTACAAGCGCTCAGACCGTACTGAGAGGCGTCGCTGGTCTTGCCAATGAACTGGCTGTGTTCTCAAGACGCTGCTTTGGAGATGTTTCCCGAGTCGCAGCACGTCTTGACCTGGGGTATCACCAAGTGAGCCTGTGGCACTTACTCCTTCATCTGGGAGAAAATGCTGAAGATTGCAGTGCATAATCCTCGCATCACGGCCCTTTTTGTATTACCTCCTCAAGCAACGGCTCGAAAGTTCGAGTCTCTCTCGTCCTTTTCCATTATCATCCACGACCAAGGGCTTGGTCCAGGTTTGTATCGACTCTGCCGTGCAGACAATCGCAATTCTCTCCCGATTGAGGGAACACGACCTGTTAGGTAAGCACGATACCAGCTGAAAGCTTTATGCTGAACGACTCTAACAATATTTTAGATACATTCCTGCCGTTCGACCTAGAGAGCGCCTTCTCTGCAGCGTTCGTACTGCTAATGGCTTCGAGCGTCCATCCCAAGCTTCTACCACAGCATAACTGGCTCAATACCGTCATGGAAGTCTTCGATTCCATAGTACTGAAGGGAAACATGTTGGCCAGCTTGCGGAAGGCGGAAGTGGAGGAACTAGCGCAGATCTTGCGTGCATTGGACCGCGGACGCCCCAGCCTTGCCGACAAATCTGCTTCCAGTATCGTTATGCCAGCTGACGCACAGCTCTCGTGGACCCCAGCCTCAGGTAATATGAGCTTGCCGAGTCTAGGCGATCCGTTCTTTGATGAATGGAACGCCGATGACGGCTTCTCAGGAGCGCAAATCATGGATTTAGCAAACGCCCTTGATATAGGAGTGCTTGATAATATTTAACCCAAAACGCTTTGATACACACTATGAGCCTTCCTGTTACAAACACCCGGCATCGCCTCTCGGGATTGCATTTCGCAGATCCTAACTTCGTGAACAAGGGTTCTCCTAGTTTGTCTCTTTCTAGATGGAACACCCTTATGCGTTCATTCAGACGACTGATTTTTTCCCCCAATGCTTGCGAAATCCAATCATCTGCAACATCTCGGTCCAGAAGCCCGTCACAGGCTCATCTAAGGCTGCCTCATAAGCATCGATGCTCGGTCTCTCCCAAACAAGGTCAGCCTCGGCAGCAGGTACAACCTTTGTTCTCTTTGAAATCTTCCAGAACGAATAAGTGATGATGCCAACGATGACCATGGCGTAATATGTGAAGAAGGTAGAAACATCCCAAGGGGTGAAGCTGGAATATCCGTAGAACAGAACCACGAAGACGGTGCCAGCCAGTCCTACCCAAGCGACGTACGGCTGGAAATAGCCATAGTAAGGCAGGGTCCTTCTGTCGATACATTGGACCTTGCAAGCGCGATAGAAGAACAGGAATGTAATACACATGACTATGTAATCGATAACGCAACCGGCAGTGACGAGGTTAACCAGCCACCGCAAAACGGTGTTGGAGCCATTCGAAAGCTGAAGGAATGAGAGCATAGGGAAGATCATAGTTATGCCAAAGCAATATATAGGTACTCCGTTTTTCGTGCACTTCTTAAGGAATGCCGGTGCTTTACCTGACAGGGCTAGGCCATATAAACTTCGGATCGCGCAGTAAGTGTAAGTGTTTCCGGCTGAGAAAATGCTAGTAACAAGTAATGCGTTCACGATGTGAGGCAAGACGCCGATTCCAAGGTTTTTCATTGCGATAACGTAGGGTGATGCTGCCGCAGTACCACTGCCCTCGGCGCCTCCCAGGAAAGTTGTGAGCGTTGGATCGTTTTTGGGGATAATGGTGCTGACACAGAAGGCCCCTCCAATGAAGAAGATGGCGAATCGCCAGAAGGCTGTCTTGAAGGCCTGCTTGACATATGTCCGCGGTCGTTTTGCTTCAGCCGCGGCCATGGCCAGGTACTCCGGGCCAACGACGAAGAACGAAGCGGACCAGAGCGCAGCAAGGAATCCTTCGAGACGTCCTATAGCTCCTGTGCTGTGGTGTTCCGCGAACGTTGCGATAGTCCAGTTCCGGAATCCATATGCGTCGTGTTGAGGGTTCACACCAACCATGGTGAAGAAGGTGAAGCCAAACAGAAGGAAGACCAGGATGACTTTGCCGCTCGATAGCCAGAATTCAGATTCTCCGTAAGCCCCGACGGCAAGGACATTCAGAATGCTAGAGACAAGGGATTAGTCGTCATGCTTGCTTGGAAGAAGTAGAGGGCAGCGAACAGCCCACTTACCCATAGAGAACGATGCAGGCAGCGCAGACGGCACCGGCAGGTATGTTGTCGCTCCAGAAAGAAAGGACGGTCGTCAACGCCGTGATTTCGAATGGTATGATCAGGGCTTCATAGAAGAAGAAGTTCCAGCCGACCATGAAGCCAAGAGCGTCGTCTACCCATTGACTAGCCATTCGAATGAATCCGCCACTGACAGGCATAAGAGTAGCCATCTCGGCCATGCAGCTGTTTACGAGGCCGATGAGACAGCAGTAGACAATGACACCGAGAAACAGGCTTCCCGGCCCAGCTCTGGCCAGGCCGCTACCGATGGTAACAAACAAGCCTGTGCCGATTGAACCTCCAATGGCAATAAGCTGAAGTTGTCGATTTCCAAGACGTCGTTGTAACTGAGATTCATTGTCGAAGACCTGCCCGGCCCTTTCATTTCCACTCGACGTAGTGGCAACGAGTTTGAGGTTCAGTGGCGACGGCTCTTCCTTTGCGTCGGTGTAAGCCATGTCTGTTTCCTTCTTGCTGTAGTCCATGTTTGCAAAGATAGTGGACAGGGAGAAGGACGTGGAGATGGTTGGTCTAGAAGTGGAATGTGGGCGACCCATTACTCCTATATGGCGGCTGGTGTTTCCAGCCATTCTACCGTATCTGTCGATCGCCATGAATAGGAGCTAACAAATCACATACAATCCTCCCCCGCAGTAGTCTTGACCTACGCGCAGCGGTGCCATAGGTCTTCAGAGTGTGTGCACCCCGGCATCGTTATCAGCCTTACAGTATTTGCCAACTCTTGCCGAAGATCGGAAACGCTATCCGAGATAGCACCGTACCTCATTGAGAGAAGCGGATGTTGTTTCCGTAACGTTTCGGGACCTCATCTAGCAATGTCTGGACCGTGTTAAACAAGCCTTCTCTTAGCGGAGGCTCATAGCGTTCTCAGAGCAGTGTGTTGATTGAAGACCGGATATTTGGTTGGCCCTTGTTGTCGGTTCGTTCATGCGGTGCATCCAGATCAGTTAGATGTCCAGCGTCCCACTGCCGTTCACAATATAGATTGCTACCTCAACCGCGCCAAACAGTCGAAAATCTAACAATTTTCAAGTGCATCGTTATTTTCCTAGCCTCTTCATCTGCTTGGATGGCTCTATAGTGTGGAGGATACTTTGAATATCATGCTTGACCTTGGCGGTCTTGGAACGTTGATTTTATTTGGAATTGGAGATGCTCAGGAGACGTCTTACCTAGAGAAGTTGCTATGTCAATGTCCCTCGTGTACGTGCCCGTGGCCGGTCTTCTTCACCCCAGGTAGTCCCGTCGTTTGTTGGGTCTTTTGTCACGAGCTACAATCCAAGGCCGTCTATCTAGGATAACGCTTTACTCTCCGGTTTTGTCACAGTTCAAGCACGCTTATCAGGCTTCATCGTCTCTTAACATTCCTGAGTGAGCCTGGGAGGCAGTGCAATATGACATTTCTTATCCAAGGCTTTCTGATAGCCTTGGAGTGTAATCACATCCTACCACGCTTCCACTCAAAAACTTTGTGATGGATGAAAGCTGCGCTGGTTGCGAGCTGAAGAGAAGTCCGACCCACGCTCGAGGTCAGTGTGAGGAAAAGTACCGGCCCGCTTTGCTTTCGCTAACTGGGAGGTTTTCCCACTGATTTATCTCCTTGACATGTTTCGTCATCGTGGAGATTATGGTCCATTAGCCCCTTTGTTCGCCGACATTGACCCCATGTAAGCCAGCGTATCTAACACCGTGTCGCTGATCGCCGAACGCACCGCGCCCTTCTCCAACCTCACTATTGCGTGCGGTGTAAAACCCTTGGCGATGAGCAATGATTTCTTCAGCTCCGCAGGCTCATCGCCGCGGGCTAGTAGAGTCGAATATCCACGGAAACTAATTGATGCCAACGCCAACGCATGGTCTCGGGGAATCCCTCCAGCCACACTGCTATCAATGATGGCATCAATTGCCACGCTCATCAGTGCGTGTGATACCGCTGCCAGCGCAGTGAGTGGCTCGAACAGATGAGGTGGCGTGGCGTGGCAGAGCCCAATATGCTTGAAGATGTTCTCGGTGAGCTCCTGCAAGTGTCGAGGCAAAGGGAGTTCTTCGTTCACCACCAAGGTTGCTGAATCCCCTGCTTGAGCTCCTAAGCTGGGCATGGCTCGTACCACATGTGCCTGTGCCTGTGCCTGTGCCTGTCCCTGGCTTCCTTGCGACGTCATTGCCTCTTCAGGAATACTGCAGTTGAGGGCTCTTTGAATCCGCTTCCGTGAGACGCCGGCTAGGATACTTATGACCAATTTGTCCTGTACGGCCTTCGCCATGTTGGCCTCACTCAATACATTTTGCACCTGACTTGGGGGGAAACACAGGAGAACAACATCAGCGTCGTTTGCAGCTTGGACGTTCTTTTTGTACAGGATGTTGACTTTGTCTTTGTACTCTGCAAATTTCGTCTCTAGCCGGCGTGCCGAAGCATCGCTTGAGACAGAGATTGTAAGATGTGAGCATAGCGGAGTCGAGGATTTGGGAACTTTCAGCAGACCCCTCGCGATAACACTGCCCATGTGCCCTGCACTCGAGGTCAGAAATCAATTTGTTTCTGCATCCAAGATAATGAGATTCCAGACGATCACATACCGCAACCTAAGAATGCGAGACGATGCTGCATGGTTCTTGCCGCCACCCAGCACGCAATAGATCAGATATGTAAAGGAAATGAAAAAAGTAAGGCACATCGATACCCCACTAAGCAGAGAGTCGGTTAGGGGAGCAATCCGCAAAACGAATAAACGTCTCTTTTTGCGATGTCGAGGGCTCGAGGACGGGCAGTGATTCAAGTAAGCTCTAATATTAGTAAAACCAGTGTTCGGATGTAATATCCGAGGCATTTAATTTCTGGTAACTCCTTTCAGTAATTGAACGACACCATGAAGATCACCAGATTGGAAGTGCTTTCCACAAAGCTACGCTGCTGCTTGACCGCAAACGTTTAGAGAGTCTATATACCCAATGATCAAATGTATTCATAGCTCTCGTTACCCCTTAGAGAGGTTCGTGAAGATATCTGGTCCCGTTGAGATACCAAGTCAGCGCCTCGACAATGTGAGCAGCTTCTTCGCCGTCTAGGCTCGCCACGTGATTCAATCCATTCTCAGCCACGGTGCCTCCATTACCGAACCATCCAAAGTCATTTCCATCGCACGTTTCCATGTTGAAATCCTCCCATTTGACCGATTCGAGAGCGTGCACCGCGTGTGTGCTGCTCCCAGGCCATAGAGCAGTGACCCTCTGCGTCTTCTCTCCAGAAATATTACTGACAACACTCTTGTACCAGCTGACACAGTCAGCGTTATAGACGGTGTTCTGGAAATATTCATCGCAGTAGTTAGTGAAGCTTTCGACCTGTTTTTGCTTCGGCTCGATGGTTCTGATATTGCCATAAGCGAGTCTGCGCAGAATTTTCGCCATATATTTGTGGATAGCCTCCATCATGATGAGGAGATTGCCCGCCCCCTGGAAAGCGTGAGGTCCGAGAGATTGAAAGAAATTGGGGAAGTTGTCGGTGCAGAGACTCAAGTATGTCTTGGGTCTGGCGGCGTACTTCTCACGCAGGTTGACTCCGTCCCGGCCATAGATTGGGAAGCCCTGACCAGGCGAGGTATCAAATCCAGTTGCACAGATAATGGCATCCACTGGCCTCCTCACCCCCTCGCTGGTGGTAATACCCTCAGCGTCGATATGCGCTATCGACTGAGTGATGAGCTCAACGTGAGACGCAGTGAGAGCTTCCAGGTAGCCAGGCCCCGGCGTTAACCTCTTGCAAAGAGGAGGGAAGTCAGGTATGAGCTTTCCAATAATCTCCGGCTTCATCTTGAGACGTTCCCTCATACTCTTCTCATAGTTTGCACGAGCGGTTATGTGACGGAGACTGTCCGGCCGCGTGATCTCGTACTGGCCCTGCAGGCGGAACTCCAATGATTTTCTGTATTCGATATAAGATCTTCGATCGGCCTTCCACAACTCCTTTTCGCTTTCATGGTAGTCGAAGTTTGTTCTCTCATTATCACTAGTTCCTGCCTTGAGGATATCCTCACTGAGCTGGTTGGATATCCAAGTTTTACCTCGGACGTAGTGATGCATGGCTTTAACCTTTGACGCCAGAGCAGGGACAACCTGAATACCACTACTCCCTGCACCGATGATAGCAACTGACTTGTCCTGCCAAGATAGTTACTAGCAGTTCCAAAACCATTCTGGTGGAACGGAACCATACAGTTGGATCAAAGGTGTCATCCCAGTTTGCAGTGTGGAGCAAAACGCCTTTGAAGTTGTGCAGGCCATCGATGGTGGGCCACTTCCACTGATTGAGGAGGCCAGTGCCGGTGATAAAAACATCAGCCTCATCCTCGACAAGTTCTGGCTGCGGAAGGTCCAATCTGAGAAGCTTTACTATCCAATTGGACCTGGACTCATTCCATCGAGCTTCCAAACACTGGTGACTGAGACGGACGTGCTGTCGGACGTCATGCTTCTCTGCTACTCTCTTCCAATATTCCAGAATTTCGGGGGCACTGGCGTAGAATTGGCTCCAAC